GATTACTATATCTTTTGCAATTTGCACTTGCATGAGATAATCACGACGACCAATTACTATTCATTGGTCAAAAGATTCAAGTTGTCTCAATACGAGGCAACTAAACTACCAATATATTCATACATAACTAATCCGTGTAAGCTCCTATTTAGCATCTCAAAATTGTTTTTATCTAATGATAATTTACTTTATTTCAACTGATTTCTCATCTTTTTCTGCCTAATACATTTCAACCACATCTTATGAATAACTGTTGCAGACTTGCAATGATTCCAGGGACTGCATTGGTTCACTCTGAAGGAAGGAAGTTAGAGCACTTACATATTAATATCAAAGGCTTTGTATTTCATTTAAAAATAATCAATAAACAATAAAAATCTTGAGATGATGAAACAAATTTGCATCCTATTGGGACAATGGTTTTGAGAAAATAGTGGCTTTACTTTCTAGCATTAAGTATGAACAGTTGAAAGGCCCACAGTTTCATTCACATCCAGAAGAACAAAATAATTCGTCTCCGTCTCCCTACTCTTCCCCTCTCCAGCCATTTGAATTTAGCATGCTACTAGTATGAGCTAATTCTCCCTTTGATCCATTGCAACATCCTGAGTAAACCTAGTTTTCAGACCACTCGATAGGCAGTCAAACGACCTCTCCCCCACCCCATTACCTTCGTAGCACCTCGGATGCATAATTTTGCAAATTATACTTCTCAAAGACTAATTGCCGCTTTAATTAAGTCAATGAAACAGACTAGATGGAGGAAAAATAGGGCAGGAGTTAAAGGTACTATAAAGGTACACTGATTCTTTTCATCTTGTTGTTAACGCTATTAGTGAGACTTTTAAACTCAAAACAGACCTTTTAGCCCTGATATTGTTTTTTGGACTCCTATCAGTAGAAATACACTACTTATAAGAAGATCGGGAATATCAAAACCAGTGTAGAATTTTCGATTATTATTTAGTACAGACCAACTTTTAGAGTGGTCTATTATTAAGAAAGTTGAGTAGAAGTCACCATTAAATCATCGCAAACTTGAGGTCTTTCCCGTAGATGATTACTTTAGCTGATAAGAAAAATATGAGGGCAGAAAAAAAATGATATCAATAACTAATGGCTACTAAACCGGCGTCCATAGAGAATTTTCATTGAATAATCAAATATAAGGCCTTTAACTATTCCAAACCAAGGGGGTCATACGGACTAACAGGGGTTAAAGATGAAAGGTGGCCTTCAAATTCATTCTCACTGCCAAGCATTTGCAATGGCAGAACGGGAGTTAAGGATAAATTTCCACAACGACACTTAATTGTTCATTCCAGATATGTTAAAGGAATTCATGTACACACCGCTTCCTTTGTCAAATGTAACTCATTTTTTCACTCATATACGAGGATAAATGAGAACACGACCCTATCTGTATCTTGAAAGAGAGTGACTTGTGCCATGAAGGTTCGTATTGGTTATCAAAATCAGGCGTTAATAATCGCTGCTTAATGCTCCCACAATGAGTAAAAAACAAACTAAACAAACAAAACGTGAACCGGCGAATTTTGATTGAAGCAACGAGGCTGCTGTGGTTGAAAAAAAGCAACGTAACAAACAATCTGATCTGACTACGTTTGTTCAACATATCCGCTCGAAAATCTGCTGCAAAATAGACTAAAGGAACAACCCTGGCATTGGAATTCGGGATTTTCCGACGCACTTAATTCAACTTTTCGGCCTCTCTAATGAAGCGTGCACTATAAGGAGAAATTTGCCATTACTAGCTCATACAAATACAATAGAGGTTAAAGGTACACAGAGAAGACAGCAAAAATTTGTCTTAGTAACGAGGCTCCAGAGGAGTCACTCTTCATGCTATTGCGTGACGATTATCAATGAGTGATGACACCCAAAGATAGTGTCTAAGCTTTGAGTTTTCTAATTCGGTGTAACTTTAATGCCACCTCGCCATTGCTAGAATCCTGAGAGGCTTCAATCATTCCATTAAAGTTGCGCTTTGCGTGAATATTAAACCTTTACTTAATACCAACGCCCAACCTAATGTTTGACAAATATGAACCTAAACTCACCGTTCGATGCAGTAAATGTTGCTCAAACTTTATCACGAAGCTGAATAGAATCGATCGATAGGAACCACTTCGAAATGCCTATATCCGAAGGATTTTGACTCCCAATTTCCGCCTCCTTAGTGGCTAAAAGATGATGAAAAAATAAACACTTCATAGATTATAACATAACTGAACAAATATTAAAAAACCATCGAATTTATGGGGTTAAAACCCGTTCGATTGATCTTCCTGACTACTTCGATCTCAGCTATGCTGATGGATCAATAGGAAATTAAATGAAAAACCTGGAAGTGGTGCAAGGAACAAATATTTTTATCCGAACGAAGTTAAAGTAATACTGCTACTTGCTTTTCATGTCATTTATAGTAATAAAAAAGTTACGTAGTTGCTCAAATACACTAAAATAGGGGATCTTGAGGTGATAAAACTTCGAGTAAACAGCTGTGGTGTGCTTAATCTCGTGTTGTCATACCATCCAGAGGGTTGGTGGCAATTGTAGGCGTCTATAAGTCTATAACAGGGAGAATGAGTGGAAAGAACATTTCACGAACTCTTTTGCTGTCAGAATAGGCTGATTTGCTATAAAAACAGCATACCAAAGAGCAATAAAGTAAACACAAAGGAATTTGTAATTTATACTATTTTTGCAATAGACATGAACGAGTATGTCAAGTACCACGCTCCATAAGGCAAAAACATCGTGAATGATTAATTTTTAATAGCTTTAAGCGCCATAGTTGATCGGATTAGATGCACCAGAACTTCACTATCAACCAATAATAATAATAATAAAAGTACGCCTGGGAAATAAAACCTCTGGAAATGTAATGCATACACATTTAAAATAACTGCCAGGAATAGGGCAATTTCCATCCAGGAACAAAACTGTTTTTGAAGCTAAAACGCATTGTCGATTGATGAGAAACCCATCGAGTGGTGGCGATGATCTCGAGAGAAATTCATATCTAAAGCTTATCCCTCGCAAAATGAAATAGCAACTATAGGATTCATAATCTTGCAAATGAATAGCAAAGCCACCAGTGAAGTAGTTATTGCTACCACTATTGTCTAACAAAAATCACAATCGGTTTCTAGGTAATCGATTCAAAAAACGAATAATAATAAAAACACCATTTATTCATTCACCTGTGGTCTTAGTAGTTTCCGCTTTATAACACTAATAAACACAACTTTGTTCAATGACGTATTCTACAGATACCTAGTGAACACATTGGCATGAAGAGTTCCAGGCTCGCTAAAGTGAAAAATTTCCAGCAATCATCTTAAACGTAGAGATTATATCAGGATGCCTGCGTGGTGAGAAACTCATTTGGAAGTTAACTTAGCTTATTCGGCCACTCGTTGCTTATGTACAGATAAGTATAAAATACATAACATCTGGCTTACTATCCACACACAATATCCGCACCAAATAAACCATTTGCCTTGATGAAGATAAAGTGAAGAAAATATGATTCAGACAGACCGAACTTTGGTATTATGTGAAATATCCTAGAGAGAGAGAGAGAGGGAGAGAGGGAGAGAGATAGGGTGGTAGAGAGAATAGAGGGCATTCACAAGGGATTAGGGAAATTAGGAGGTGAACAAACGCGCAATCGAAGTGGAAAGGGGATACATGAATTCAGAATGCACTGAAGGAGGAGTTTACACAAAATAGGTTATAAGATAAGAAAGAGCACCAATTCGCTGCAAGTTTGTATGGTGCTTTGCGATGGAATACGAAAAGTCGTCAGGAAAGGAATGAGGGATGGTTGTGAACAGAAATAGACAATTTTTGTGTCCAGTCTTCTGCAAAAACTCTTCACAGTGTAAACACAATCTTAGAATGTCAATGTAATGATACGTCTCTAGTCTTTGGTTGCACGAAGGCATCTTCAGGCTCTTAATTTGGCGTGTGAAGGAAAACGACAAGCTGCGTGAAATTGAGAAATTGAGAGGGAGGAAATGGCGCGGGAAACTTTGGTGTGCACGTTTTGATACACTTTGGATATGAACTACTTCCGCTCATTCATAGTTCTTTTTTACCTTAACTGACAACTCTCACGAGGTATCCTATGAAAGCGCAATGTAGATTGTTCTGAATGTGTCTGTTTTGTGATTTGATATATAGATTAATACATAGGTACATATTCGAGCATGTGTTGGTAATAATAATAATAATAACGATAAGAGACGGATATGGTGTCCGTGTGACAGTTAAAAAACCAAAACCGCTTACAGATTCGATAGCCCACGATGCTGGAAAAATAAAGGTGACACTAAGAGATGAGTGGAGTGTGCGAGATGAACTAGTTGTGAAACAAGAAAGTGATGTTTAGCAATTGAGAGGTCAATCTATTTTGGCTCCTTGGAAAAATAAACATTCATAGGAGACAAGACATAGAGATTGTAAATGTGAATAATAGGAAGAGAGAATTAAAAGGAGTGGATAGCCAAAGACCTAGATCTGGTTGATTGCCGAAGTCAACGGAACACAACGTATGCTCGCACCCTACTGTTGGTACTTGGGCGTTAAGAGGACTTAGAGCTATATGCTGCCTGGCTTAAAAAGGAACTATCGATTTTTTGGATTAATGGTGATTTGGTTTAGTCTGAATGTGCATCTAGAGATGCTGGTTCTTTGCTTTCTGGCTGTGCAGTTGTTGTAGTAATAGTAAAAATGTTCAAATGACTAGAGAAGGCTCAGGATAAGAAGAATGGAGAGAGAGAGAGAGAGAGTAAAGAATAAGTACAGCACACGATTGAAAGACATACAAAAGGCGCATTGAATTTGGTATAAAGAAGAGGGAGGGTGAAGAGAGTAAATGGAAAAGAATCGAACAATACGATGTGATTGGCACTGAAAAAAGACGGGGGGGGGGGTGGAAGGAGAGAGGAGACAAGAGCGCTAAATATCCTTCATGTCAAATCTGGAGGATCCTTTTGATGTGGAGAGGGACCTTGAAATCTCGTGCAGGCTTTCTTCCAACGACATTGCTTACACCATCTACTTTTATTCACGGCGCCGTAGACCCGTCTACACTTGGCCGCCTCAGAGCGACGGAAACCTGTGTGATAGTCGGTTGAAGTAGAAGGACCAGGAACAGAAACGGCAGTGGATGTACTTGGATCTGCGGAACTTAGAGCAGGTCGATAGACAGGTGCAGAAGAGGAGACAGAAGAAGGAGTGATGACCACGTTCGATGTGGTAGCTGAGGAAGAACCGGAAAAATTGAAGACCTGGGAGGTACAACCACCTGTTGTAGTGGAGGTGGTGATGGATCGAAGGGAAGGAGTTAAACCAGTGGGATGGGAGGGGCGTTCGGGATGAGCTAGGCTTGATCCAGCAAGCATGCTCTGGGAAAATTGGAGGGCCTCCCCTTCGGTCATTAAAAGAAGATCTAGGGCAGAGGTACGCCGTGGTGTTGCGACGACGTGGGTGGCACTTGTTGGATCAGAAGTGGTGAGTGTTGAAGTAGATGAGGGGACTGTTGCGGTAGCTCCAAAAGGCTGTGGGGCATTGAGCAGTGGAAAGAGAAGATTTCGAGCTAACTGCTCCGGATCAGCCACAGGTACCTAAAACAAAAAAATAACATTTATGGTAAGGGAGAAATCTTATTGAAATCTTTGCTAGTAAATTGATTAACTGTGTCTACACGATTACAAATTAGGTAAACAGTGGATGCCTTAGCACTCCCAGCTGAATTAATTTTATAGAGCCTTATCAACCGACAAGCATTTGTAGACTTCATCCCTCATGCATTGAAGTATCGATCGCATGATTTTTACACTCGTACCTGATATTGCAATAAAACCATAAGTTAATCTGGTTGCCAGTCACTTGTCACATCCTATCCATTATAAATACTCCATATTTTCTTATTACCAAGTCATCCTTAGGGTTTGTAGTTTTTTATTCAACTTCCTGCTGTTTGAGTAATTGTAGCTAAATAGAAAGATAACCGAGCGTTAAGTAATGAAACAACCATTAAACGCTATGGCTCACCAACCATATAAGTATGCTCAATTAATAATGAAATAGGTTATGTTATTTGTACCATCCCTATACTATCATAAGTCAATTTTTATGTCAATACAGGCTAGCACAGAGATAAATAGCAAGCCATCTGTATGAGGATCAAGGATCAAGTGTACTTTAATTTGATAGGTAAAGCATTGTAAAACACGCATTTCCTTGTAAATCCGGGTACTTTATTAAAAGAAGCAGTGATGTTCACGTTGCTATGAGGGAGTCGATAGTAGACTCAACTGCAACCTCGTGAGCAACATATACCAATGGGGAAGTGTGAGAGTGAAGCATCCATTGTGGCAAACCTTTAAGCCTCTTTATTCTATTTTGCCCAACCTGAAATTTTCGTTAGTACAGTCTTCCTCTAGTCTTAATTACAGTAAATACAAACACTTTAGAGCTCTTTCTTTATTCCTCTTCGCTCTCCACATGGTTACTTTACCTCATTGAGCTCTTGGTCCAGTTTGTCTAAATTTACTACCTTCTTATACCTGGAACACTGACAACTAGTCTCCATGTAAGCATCTAGCATATTTTATGAGTCATGATCAGCTAATATAGGCAAAACTATTAGTAAAGATTTGTTTTAAAGAACATGATGCATCACTTAATAGATCTCTTTTGAGTTTCCTTGAAGAAGTACATCGATTTTTAACAGAAATAGCAGCTTTGCATATATACCTGAAACCTCTTATAAAGCCCTCAGCACTCAGACTCTAGAGGAGATAAAAACCGTTGCTCAACCAATGTTATTTAAAAAATTTGAACTTCCTATAGGGGATATTAATCGTTCTAAATGATGCTTCGGTGGCTTCATGTGACCAGGTATGAGGCGTCGAAACTCAATAAGCAGGATAAGGCTTCAGAGTTTCGCTCGGGTAGACCTAAAATATTCGATATCGATTTATGATTTAACATCAATCAGGCAAAAACTCCCAGAGAAGCATTTTTTGTAATTATCCAGGCCGAGTAGATGAAGCAAGAACTCTCATGCATTCTGGACTTTTGTTTCCTTTGATCACGTTCTCTCTTGATCAAACTTTATTAATATATTCTCTCTGTGTTCTCCATGACCAATAAGCTGCTCAAAAATATCTTTCCTGTCAAACATACTGGAAAGTTTGCATTTATCGCCCCTTTATGAAGTTTGGAAATAGAAATTGACCCATGACATTCAAGTATTTATCGATATCTGCAGTTAATGTCTAAGCTGAAAAGAAAATCTGAGGTGAATATTATCTGTTCATTTGTACGCAGCTGAAAATGGCTCTCCAAATAATAAATCGAAAGGTCAGGTATGATCTGAAGAGAGATGGCACACCGCCTAATATTCCTCAAAGAAAACTACTCATTGCATCAACAAAAACTGCTTTGGTTTGCCCTGACTTCAATGAATACACACACTCACAAATGACTTTCAGTGGCCCATAATTTTACTGCCGCCAACTATAACTCGCTTCAGATTTAAGTCGCTATGGTGAGAGAAAGCTTAATGATCCCTTGAATTTCGAGTGAAACAATTAAGCTCACGCTTACGTCATTGCAAAATAGTGACTATAAAAAAATTGGTGACGAATTGTTAAACATTCTTAGTTACTTGTTTCCTGAAAGCGGAAACACCACAAACTGCCCATAGCAAACCATTTTGATTTCAAGCTGTTTCTGTAAATTTCTCAAGCTATTGTTTTAGCAATTTAAAAAATACGTAAATTGGACCGTTCCAAATCTATATAGGGTTGGTGGGCAGCACTATTCGCTATTTCCAACGGCAAAAAAGCCAAAATTAGGAAAAATTTTCCCTTCCTCAAAAGACAGCTTTTCTTAAATAATTAATAATGTAAACAGGCAATTGCGTAAGCCTCTTTGTTTTCGGCTGCAAAATACAAAAGAATTTTATCTCCTTGTGGTATAAGCTAAATCGCGCGATTTCGACAATAGTTCCAACCAGAGGCATTTGCGGTACTGCGCTCCATTTTCCCTCTGTCTCTCCCTAACCAGACATTTTTAATTTTGGAAATCGATCTTTCATCCGGGAAAAATAACCCTACGTCCGTAATAAAAATAAATATGATAGGGGGGGGGGGGGAAGGAGAAACGTAACATCCTTGTCCATGATCGACCACATGCTGGAACGCGTGTAAAGCGTCTTTCTTGTCAAAAAATTCAGAAGATAAGTGCATTACTTTAATTAATACTGACTACAGAAATTTCTTTCATTATTAGCCCTAAAATATTTCAAAACAAAAGTCTATTTTCATTTTTTCACAGAGGAATTTAAACCAATTAGGGTCCACAAACGAAAAATGTTACCGCATTGTCATACAGTTAGTCTTCTTTTGTCACTTTACACAAAATGACAGCGAATGAGGCCTTTTCATCTGAAAAACCACTTTTGGGGAAAGCAAGAAAACCAGAAAATACACGTGAATTATATTTTTAGACGTTGCATCAAAATGAAGTTTCTTGACACCGACCCTCATGCATTGAATTATCGATTATTGAATTTTTACGCTACCGGTTGATATCATGAATTAGATAATAGCTATGAGTCCAAACATAATGAATATTGCCTTCTAAACTAAAATTAAAAAGTAGTTGAGTGCGAACCTCCCCCCTATCATGAAAACGAAATCCAGACCTCCTTATTAGCATATTTTAGGGAAGGATTGTATTTCGCTTGGCAATTTGGCATGATACCAGTACACCCAGAGACTAACACAGATCAGTTTATTGACTCTATTTAAGCCATTAGACATGTTCCTTATGAGGAACTGAGGGCATGCTCAACTAGCGATCTCGCTAAGTCCTTGCCAGCATAATAGCCAAAGAAAGACTAGCATATTCAATCTCAACCCACGCTTTTGGAGAAAGTAGTGGGCATTGTAGCAACATGGTCATTTACCCTCTATGCTCCATTAGATGGTTCAATATAGAAAAGATTCCTGAGTACTATACCCATACAAGTTCGGAAAAAGCAAACCATAATAATGAACTACCACTTGGCGATAATTAACGAAGTGGAATAGCTGGCTACTGAAAGCAGCGATCATTTTCGTGTATGCAACCAGGTGCGTAAGGGTTGCCAGATGCCTTGGAAACTAGGCCTCTTTCCTCCCTCCATCGGCCGCTTTTACCCCCTCTCCCCCCCCCCCAGAACTCATCTTTTCTCAGCCCGAATGCAACGTGTCGCCATTTGACATACCGGCGCAATCGAGCGTGCAAAGCGAGTTGGAGGACTCTGTGTATCAGCTCGAGGTGTTTATTGGCTACAATCCCCGGGTACATAAGCAGGTCATGATTACTTCCACTCTTTATTCCTCTTGTTTATGAACAGATTTATTGGGAAAATTAGATTAGATTATATCGAAAAGATGGAGAACCCCGAATTCGGTTTAGGAAATGCATTTTAAGGGAAAAATTGATTTTATTACTTTAATAACCACAAATTAACTAATTGGGCTAGCTATGTCCTATAACTTGATTTGAGATAAGAGGATGAGGATTGACCTCAAGACTTCCAAGAAGATTGATACACACGCTGACTACCTCCCTGGTGAATAGCCAAATCAACAAAATATTGACAATCAAACTTCCAAAATTATGCGTCAATTCATGAAGTTAGCTAGGAGGAAAAATCGAAATTTGTAACGCTTACCAAGTCCAACTGAGAGGTTTCCATACTTGGCATGCTTGCTTCTTATATTCATGGTCCTGGAAAGATCACTAAGCTAGTAAACTTGGATTAAACATCCAATTAAGCCAGCAAATGGTTCTTAGAATATACTAGAGCGTGTTCTAAAATAGGCCGAACGATTAAAATGACAGCCCATGGTGTCCATCCAAAGTTCTAGACTGGATGGCTATGGCAACCGCCACTTTGACAAATGCATTTTGACTACCTAACTATACCCCAGTTTGCTAGAGATTTCAGACACGGAAATACCTTTATTCTCTCTTCTTCAAAGCATCTGCATGCCATTATAACTCGTAAGTGGTTAAAAACCATTTCTCTACATGGTTCAAAGTTTAAATCAAGGTAAAAATTAAAACTGACTTGTTCTCCTAGCACCATAGTGAATGAGAAGGGTGGTCTGGACGGTTGTTGTCCCAGCATACTGAAAGGCACGCTTTGTTGTTCCGATCGCACCCTTTTCAGAGTCATCTGTTCACCTGGTGGATATCGCTGCATTCTCTCTGCCAATTGATACAATCCCGACTCAGATTGTCGGCGCGGAAATGGATACGACGGCTGTGATCTCTCCGAAGCAGCAGTCAGAGCAGCTACAAAGGTGTCTTGACTTATTGACGACGGCCCACCACTTCCTTCCACTTCATCTGTAGAGTATCGTTTCAAATGTCCACTGGTCGGGCGATGAGGATGTTGGTGTGGTGTCATGAATGACTGCTTCTGGTGGTGATGGTGAAAGGGTGGAGCTGAGACAGGAGGTAGCGTGGAAGGTCCGGGACGAGTCGATGTTGAAGGAACTGTGTGCTTTTGATAGAGAATGCGTAGAGCTTCTTGAAAACTGGCGGCACTGGATGTTAGACTGCATTCTCTTGGAGATACGACTGGGTAACCGCGAGGAGCTACAGAGAGGGAGATTTGAGCTACTGAAGGCCCTTGTGGTGTTAGATGTGAATGGGAAGGATGGTGGGATTGAGTAGAGAGAGGAGAAGGCTGCCTTTCATCTGATTTGGTTGTTGATATTGGCGTTGGTTGTTGATGTCTGCTGCTCGACCCTGGTGAGCCTGAAATTCAAAAGAAATTTGTTTGTCATTCAATAGTATAACTTGGTATTTCAAAAACAATTTCATTAAATAAGTAATCTAAATAGCATGCGACCAATGGGTACAACCAAAGCTTACTCAAATTCCAATGTCAAGAATTATAAGTTGGCAGTCAAAATTCAACGTGAGCCAAGAGAGAGTGCAAGAATCAACCGTTTGAAACTTGAATTAAGACTGATGCGTGGGATAAATCCCACGTTGTATCAAGAGGGAGGTAAGTGAAAATCGATAACGGAAACCTCATAGCCGTGTGCTCCTCAAATGAAATGCAAAGGAAATATCTCTGATTAACATCAATTTAATTAACATTTAAAGACAAAAATTATTTTCCACAGAATCGATCTTCTAAACAGGCATTGAGAAAAAGAATTTGCAAAGCGCAAGTAAGTGCACTTCGAATTTACGCCAATGCCTTATATTACGTCAGAATCCATATCGTGTTCATTTTACAGTTTGAGTAAACATTTCGAATTTTATATTTATAACGAGCAAAAATAGCACCAATTCGATTTTCATCCTAATTCAGGTTTTAAAGTACAAAGAGAATTTGAAATCATTAGAATTACCGGAACAGCATTTATTCTTCAATTGTTTCCCCCAATTAAATTAATAACAGCGCTAAGATAAATCACGAGCGCTTTAAACAAATAATAAAATACAGTATATTACACCAGATATTGAAAGAATACATGCACATCGCTTGATTTTAAAGATCTTTTGAAAAAAGAAAATAAAAGCAGTTCACAATTACAAATTATCAAAAATGTTTTGGGCAAGTTTTATTCATTTAAAGTTTTTTATGCATTATAGAACTTTCATTTTTCCCCATTGTACAAATCAAATTAGATAACATGTGCTGGTGTTTTTTTGCTAATTTTGTCGTATTTAGAAAGGAAATCCGAAGTGGATTCATTTCTCCAATTGAAGATTGTTCAAAAAGCAGTGGCAAAAAAATATGCGTTTGCATGTATGAATCAGGGAAAAATACTCCAACCACACAGAGGAGTGAAATGGTCTTCACTTAACCTCGATATACATCAGGTTAGTCAAGGTTTACTGAATAATTCACTGAGACACGTTTAATTCGTGCCGAATTCAAATTTCAGGATTCTACAGTTTGATTCCTGCCATGCTGAAAGCCTATAAACTTGGTAATCTATTCTCTCTCACTTTCACAAATAGCTATTTGAACTTAGATTAGAGATTTCAATAAGTTTGAACTCAATCAAGGTGATTCCTTCTCGACTGAGTGCCTTTAATTGAAAGTGGGAAAAGATTCATCTGTTTATTTTAAACTAGCACCACTCTTTCCAAAGTCTTTTGTTCTCAATATTCATATTTTCCCAGCCAATAATTTTCTAAATAAATTTATATGAACAGTCTATTCGGGCAAATGAGAAGGCCTATTGGAAATTTCAAAGATATGCTTAATGAAAGTAACACATACACTGATCCTTTTTTAACTTGTAAGTATTATTGTCATCTAATGAGTTTATTTAGTTTATAAGACTTAGTTAATGAATTTGTTGTATTTAATGCAAGCAAACATTATAATTGCGTATATTTCCTTCCTCTGCAATTTTAACTTGAAATTATTTCTCAAAATGCTATGAAGTTTAAGGAAAGCAAAAATAAATGCAATTACTTTTTAATGGAATATTTCACTTATGCAAATCGTAATTGACAGAATTATGAAAGCACAATAGATTTCAACATGATAATGTAATCTACTTACATTCAAGTACAATCTTTGCTGCCTATAAAAATAGTAATCGGACTTATTTCAAAAAGGATGAACTAAATATTCATAAAAAGTCAACTCTCGAGTAGGGTTGAAATCATGACCTTATTTTGGCTCCTGTAAAACAAAAAATGTACGATGCCCTTTTCTACGGTTAAATAGTGGACTAATTTGGATTGTCAAATGGAACTGCTTTCATATATTTTATTTTCATCAAAGAAACCTCATTGATTCAAAATGATCAAATTAATTTTATTAAAAACTAAATAGAACAAATAGGTTCAAATGCGTGAAAAACTTATTATTTTACCAATGATAAAGGAATAACTACGAAATTCGAAGGAAAAACATTGATCAATAAAACTGCCACACGACACAAAATAAAATAAATAAAATAAAAATAAACAAATAAAATAAATAAATAAAATAAAATAAATTTTATGTTAAGAAGCCAAATCTCACATACCGTCTGCATTTCACCACCACCACCCCCTCCCCCCTCCCTTCCCACTACTCTAGGAAAACCCATAATTAGAGCAGATCTAAATCTTTAGAAACGTTCGGGCCTAGAGTTGGTTATTAACAAATAATAGCAAAAGATTTCAAAATTTTTATTTAAACTCTCAATCATATAATAACAAGAGGAGAAAAATTTATCTCCCATTCAAATATCGTTCAGCCGACAATAGCGCTCATTGTAGTTTATTAGCCTTAATGAATGAAACCGAAATACGTTAGTGTAGGAGGAATTAGCAAATAAACAGATTTTCAAAACTGTGCAGGGTTCAATTAAATTAGTAAAAGCTTTCATTGGCGCTTTAGTAAACACATTCAATTAAAATTTCCCAAGAAGCTATGGAACCATTCAAAAATGAAAATTAAAGATGTTAAACTGGAGTTCCAAAATGCGTCTCAATGGTTTTGCCAAGTGTTGATTCAATCTGTGAGTGCAACAAACAAACAAGTTTATTTCAGATTTATTTGCAGCGCCAAAGTAAGCGAAGCGAGATGCGGTCAACAAAAATGCTAATTTCCCCACAAAAATAATTCAATCCACCAGAAATTCACTCGTGTTTCTAGTTGACATGTTTTGAGTCACAACATTAAAATTATAATTTGTCATGGATGCTAATTGCAGATTCAAGACAATATATATATACACAGTAGTAGGAGTGAATTCCTTTACGAGTCCCGTTATCAATGGGAAATAAAAGCCACGCCACGGTTTAAACAACTTGTCTACAAAACACAAACGACCATATCACTTGATCGAACTTATTAATAAAAATTTTAAACTTTTTATGGATCCACATAGTTTCTTAATTTCTGTTCTAGTTAAAAATTTTAATTTTTATCTTGCAACAGAGAAGAAGCTTTAGGTCTGGGAAAACAAGGTAACCTACATCACGTTGAATTGCGTAAAAACAAGATAGAGCTTAAGGAAATACAGAGACAATCGAAGGAAAACGACACTCAGCTAAGTGCAATCAGAGTCTCAAATTCTATAAGTCTGGAAAATCAATAAATCGCATAGAAATCGAAGGAAGAGCCATTAAAAAGACGACAAATTGGTAGAAATTAACAAGCAGTTCAAGAAAATAGATTATTTAGACAAGGAATAGCCCGACATTCATATACTTTCAATACTTGAATGATATATTTAGCGACGTATAAACCAATTAATTTTATTGATTTGCATTCATGAAAATTTAGCGATTAAATACTGTTTAGCTTCACGCTGTTTCCTACTCATTAGGCAAAATGTTCTCAGTTGTATATAATAACTAGACGAGCTTTAGAGAAAACTCATAAATTCAACTTTTTTCAAGTCATATGTAGATTGTGGCTGTAATTGCCATAATTTTAATCTTTGATTTACCCTACTTGTCACGTTTTTTCATTATTCATTAATGCGTCGCCAATTCACAGTGTCATACGCTACCAGTTGAATTGTATGCATAATTCTAAATCGCGTTCTGTCATTGCTCAGAGTAATGGGACACTGCGTTTGATAGAAAGCATGCTTTTTAGACTAAATTCCTCCAACTTACCTTTCAAATAAGACATAATGCTAACCAACCCCCTTGAACTTTTTTTCAGATGGACAAAATAAAAAATGGAACAAAGAACTGTCACATCGAAAATTGGAGTTACTTTTACATGCATACATTTTCTTCATTGATTATTCTAACTCCATTATGGCAACCAAGATACAACTGAAGTTGAAATCGCTTATCGCCACTATTAGCTCGGATTTATAGTTTATAAATAACTTTTTTTAAATAGTTGCCATAACCTTAAACTTGCACTAGTCACCTAAACGTCTAGGTTTTGAAAACATTGCATGTTTACGCCATTCATTCCCCTACCTCATAATTTAAACACAAACCACGAGAATCCAAAACATCACCGATGAAAATTCATAAACACAAAAGGTTATGACTTCCAATTTGAAGTCTGATTTTGCGTGGTTTAATGAATAATTCAAGAGTATAGAGGTACATGATTTTCTGATTTATGGGCCTAGAAACATTCTTTACAAAAAGGGAATTGAGAACTAAATGGTGGTCAGTAAAACAGAGAGACTAAAGCGGTTGCTTCAATAAAAATTACATTGAATAATTGAAGCTGGAATGGATGGAATCAATAAATTATAGATAGAACCAAAAAAGGCTGCTTTTTTCGAGTAATCAAATCCTATCTGGAAAAATTTATACTCTTTTTGAAGAGGATAGATTTAGATGAACGTTTTCTTTTGTCATCAGAAAAAAAGCAGGTCAGATTTGTAAAAGGTAATATGTATGAACACAAGCTCACGAAAAGAAACGTAGTTGGTCTTATTCATACCAATGAAAAAGATTTAACTGACGTTTCGTGAGCACAATAATATTTGCACTTTTTAAAAAGGAATTTTGAAATTTAGTACGCATATAAAACACTGATACTGAGAGCCAACTTATGCTTTCCTTGTTATTAGATAATTTTGACCAAAAGAGCTTCCATCAAAAACGGGAAAATAACGCCAATCCATTGCTTCTATTTGGTCAGTTCGTTGTTCAAACCTTCTACTTAATAATTCAGAATGCAAAACGCATCGATACCTTGGATATAGTAAGTTATGCTAGCGAGGTTTCTCATAAAGTAAAACCACGACTTAATGATTCCTTTTGGGAAAACAAGCATCCCTACGCTCATTTCCGAGGAGTGGTATTCGACGC